GGAATGGGAGAGGGAGGCTTGAGCATGAAATAAAAATACAATTTGAGCTTTTGATCTGACAGCTATTAGGGTCGGCATTTTGAAGACTTGCATCAGACTAATAAAATCCACTGCATGGGACTGATCACAAATCCCTGTGGTTTGTCGCTGAAGCTACAGAATCTGTGCTTTCTGTGATACATAACTTGGTGGATTAATGTAGAGATAGAGATTGTTAGAATAGGACAGAGTGGGATAGTCCAACATGGTTGACTACAGACAAGACAGAGTATGTGTGTTTGTTTTAAAACAAAGACATATTGAGCAATCTTAGATTGCTATGTTTTCAATGTGTTTTAAAAACTCAGAAGACACAGTGGTGTTATCAAATACAATATTAACCTGTGCTCACCTTTCAATGTCTTTGTCTTTCTGTTTCTTCAGTTCTCTTTCATCATTGGCTTTCTTTATTGCTCTGGCACGCTTTGAGTCATTTTCCTTTTCAACACAGAGAACAAGGTGGTAGATTAAACTATAGTTATAATCATCATGAAAATAATATAATGTTATTTAATGTAATATAATAACAATATAATGCTATGAAATGTATTATAAAATAATCATCAGGTGCCTTGCATAATCCTAGATCTCCTGCAGCATGTATCAGTTCGTGTGCCAACACACCTCCATGCCATGCAACAAGACTGTCAAGAATCTTCTCTCGTTGTCTTCCTCTATCCCTCCTTCCACAGATCTTTTTAGTGGTCACAACATGTTCTATTTTCCCTCTTCTCAAAACATGGCCGAAAAATGATGACTGTCTCCTTCTGATGTCTGTGATAAGTTGTCTTAGGGCTCCCGTTTCTTTCAAAACCTCTTGGTTTTATTTAATTTTATTATTATTTTATATGAAATAATATAATATGATATAATATGATATAATATAATATAATATAATATAATATAATATAATATAATATAATATAATATAATATAATATAATATAATATAATATAATATAATATAATATAATATAATATAATATAATATAATATAAAAGCTGTCTTCAAATATAAATTTCCAGACAAATATGCTTTCCAGTATCCACATCCCTCAGATTTAGGATGGTAAATATTTTTTTTTTTTGTAAATAGTTAATTGACAGATTATCCTCACTGCACAGTCCATAAGCCCTCGGATCCCATCTTCAGTACATCCCCCAGCATATGGTGACTGGTAACACCAGTTCTGTGTTGGTTACCATTCTTCTTTGGCTACCTGTATAGTGTTCATGTTTGGCATCACCTCTTTTGACCTGAAGTTCTTGTCGTCTTTTGAATGTTGCTGGCTTACCGTCTTCTCCTGAATCATCTTCTCGTCCTGGCTCATTGAGAGCACCGAGAATGTCGGCCAGGTCCATTGCTTTTCCTGTACCTACCGTAGGTGGCCCGACCAGAAAGCCAGTCCACTTGTTCATTTCCCTCTTACCTCTAGCCACATCACTGCTTTTGTTACCACCATCACCAGCATAGTCAGACTACTTTTAGTCAAGGCAATATCCTGGCTGTCTTCTTTTACAGTTTTCCCTTGAAAGAGAACAGTGTAAGCCCATGAGCTGTGTACTTGTCAAATGACGGATCTATCAGTAAGGATAACTGCACCTCCTTCAGCAGAATTGTCAAGAATCAAGGCTTGAACTTCTGTCTTAACCATCAATGGGCTTTGCCATTTGCATGCTCTATCTAGTTGTATGCAGACTGAAAAGGATGTACACCACTCTACTGGCCATCGTACTCATTCCTCACCAGGTTCTATGTCCTCAGTTAAAAAACTTGTTGAATAATGTCCTCAATCTAACCCACCCAGGATTTTCCTCTTTTTAACCTGTTACCCTTCTCCCTGTGAATCTCAATTTGCAATGAATGGTGTGCATCAACACTGATACGCAGATACATACATACATAGCAGATCACTGTTCTCGCTTCCATGATTGGAAGATCAATGAGATAATGCATAACCTTGCATGTTGTATTCTTTGTGCATCCAAGTATGGTGCCCATGGACTTATTCTGTATCTGATCTAGTCTCTCTATCTGTATACGGCTAAGTTAGAATTACCAGAGCGTACTCAGTTACAGAAAGGATCAGATTCTGGTAAAATAAAAATAGGTGGAGCTGCTGGCAGTCTGTTGCAGACATTATATTTCTTTTCTTTAAACTGGGTGTCATTAATATTTGTCTAGCTGTTCAAGCTTGCTACACAGTCATTGTCTTTATCTTCTGTCTCTATCTTCTGTCTCTATCTTCTGTCTCTATCTTCTGTCTCTATCTTCTGTCTCTATCTTCTGTCTCTATCTTCTGTCTCTATCTTCTGTCTCTATCTTCTGTCTCTATCTTCTGTCTCTATCTTCTGTCTCTATCTTCTGTCTCTATCTTCTGCTGGTGATTCCCTCAGATAATATTTTCCTCCATTAGGCAAACTTCTTTATTCCACTAGTTCTGTTCATATATCCATAAATGTCATTGACCTTTTCATGTTTTCTTTCAGCATCTGTGCTTCATGCAACATGCTTCATAACTCTGAAATAACCAGTTTGATTCAAGCTGCAGAGGATTCGGCAGAAATCACTTTGCACTGATTCTGACAGTGGTATCAACAGCTCATTGTGCAGAAAGCAATGACAAACTACTGAACGTAAAATTTCATACGCAGCTAAAAATTGCTGCTGAGGTTGATTCTGCAACATCCTGTAATGTTTTTAATGTTTATTTTTATTTTTGGATATAGACTATAAGATTTATTTTCCTTACTTATAGATTCTTTACGAACCTTTAAAAATTTGTCAAATTTCAATAACGACTCTTTCAACTGATGCTCCTTCCGTTCAAGCTCCTCCCTTCTCTGCTGCAAACTCTCCATCTTCATCTGGAACTCCTGAAACAGATGACAGATAATAGAATCAAGCACTGCTCAAACGGTAATCTATAGTTCTAAGTGTAAGCAAGCTTATAAACGCTAACCAGGAAAAGAAATTAGGTCACCTCATGGCACAATGTCATTACAAGGTGTATGTGAAACTCTACACAATGGCATTTCCTGGTTTTTGTGAAACCCTATCAACTCACACAGTCAGCACTTTTTTATGTTTAAACCAAAGTGCTGATTTTCATCACAGTGTTACAGCAGCGCTGAAAACAATTATGATTTTAAAAAATTTGCTGGTACTGCCCATCCGCTCGCAGTTTATTTCAAAAAATGACTTTGGCTCCCAGGTCGACCCAGCCTTGAGCAGGTACCGGGTGCAGTCCCAGGAAGTAAAGGCGGCCAGCGCGTAATGCTGACCACATCACCCATCTTAAGCCAATTGGTCTATAAAAATATAGGTCTAGCCCTATATGCCCTATTTGCCTAAAGGGGGGAAAAGGATCCTTTACTTTTTTTTTTTTTACTGTTCATCATTATGTAAAACAGAAACAAGCCCTGTGCACACCTATAGCAGTATTCATAATGTTTAAAAGCAGTTCATAATATGTAAGTAGATGGCTGACGAACATAGTCAAACCATCAAATGATTCCTGTGTGGTTTCCAGGGTCTGTTGTATGTGATCATTTTTTTATAATTTTCAGTTCTGATGTTCAATTACCTTATAATGGCCAGACCAGAGCAAGTCATTATTCTACACCTTAGAACAGGGCATAATCAACTTCGAAGCCACATGTACACAAAATTTAAGATTGGCAAATCAGCCATGTGTACATGTGGATTAGCACCTGAGACAACAGATCACTTCCTCTAAGACTGTCAAAAATACCACATATCAAGGCAAAACTTTTGGCCATGAGAAACACCGGCGCAAGCTTAAACTGTATGGGTCACTAGTTAAATTACCAACAGACAGTGAAGTTCATACTTGAGACAAAATTGCAGATAAAGACAATCTATTCAAGAAAGAATGAAGAAGAAGGATTCTAATTGTCGTGAAATGATAGCCATTACGCATCGGTCTGTAAGGCTGATAACCTGTCTTACCTGTAATCTGCACAAAATTCAAACTTGGACTCGCCCAGAAATATATAGTCCCTTATATCTATATATATAGGCCTTTATTGGACAACATTATTATGTCTGCCTTTTCTGGTTACTTTAACTAAACTCCACTTTTAAATGTATATCTCTTCGATATATATTCAGGGAGTTATTTGAGGTTTCTTGGAAACCAATTTACTCCTTGCCCAAGTATACAAGGGATTTCTTTTGTTACCAACGCCTGAAGTGTCTAAGTGACGCTATTCTCCTTGCCAGCTTCTCAAGCGTCCAGACGTGTTAATCTATGCCTGTATTATTTCATTTTTCAAGGCAATCTGGAATGTCTCAGTTTTTACATATGCTTGGGATGTATCTTTTGTGAGGAGCTGGCAGAAGTTTCACAGTCCAACCAACACCCACCAACCATCAAACCACCAGAAACAAACTGTTACCCACCAGCTAACACCTGTGAAGGTTCCTGACATCTCCAACATGGGGGAGATGGTACCTCAAACAGCCTACCAGTGCTAGAGCTTAGGTTTGGCTCACAAACAATTTGTGTTCTACTTGGTGATAGAGACTTGCTAAGTACCAGTGCAGTATTGTGTCCTCTATGGTGAGGTACTCTCTGACTATTTGATCCAGTGGAGCAGAATTTCCAGAATCAAAGACAGTCGAATCATCCGGAGCTGAAGGAGGCATCATAGACAGAAAGGATAGAAGCTAAGTCTGATGCTTCGCATGATGTTGTTTTCCTCACAGCTCCTTGTTTTCCAATGATGACATATAGTCACCTCCAGGACCGGCTGTCTGTATAGTTTCCTTGGGATCTAGACATTAGTGCTGAGATTCTTTCACTGATAGCTGGAATTCACTTCAATTGTTTTTTGTACAGATATTATACTAAATACATGCATTCATTTTCATGGCTGACTTAGTTTTCTCTATGTCACCTTCTTAAGTGTTTTAGCAGTTGTATGTGTATGTATCTTCATTATATGTGTTAACATGGTTTATGATAATGAACTATCATAACCTGGGGGCTTTCTTTAGTAAGTAGTGGGGGTGTCCAGCCAAGTGTGCCTAGAAATATTGTATTTATATACTGATATATTTTGTAGTGCCAATACTTGAGTTGCCCTACTCCAGAGATAAGTTGAGCGTATATTGGCCACGGGGAATCCCTTAGACCAATACGAGCCAAACGACTCAACATAATTATCTCTGAGTGCTGTTGGTTCTGAAGGAGAAATCCTTACATTAGGCACGCGACAGGAGTGATATGTGACACTAATGTTAGTTCACGTTTAACATCTGCAAGTGAAAGTTAGAGAACCACTAAAAACATGGAGGAAAGTTAAATGCATTCGTAAACAAGTCTCTGAGGACAATGATGAAAATAAAATGACATGAATTCAAAAGAAGTAAAGAAATAAGAGAAATGTCTGGGAAACCACTAGTATAAATAGTTATGAGGCGGAGAAGATGGCGCTACAAGGACATATTCTGAGAAGAAACCAGCAGAGAATCACAAAAAAGGCATTAAATGGGAAATAAAGGGATTAAGGAGGCGAGGACGCCCACATTGAAACCTTAAAAGAAAAGTTGATGAGAGAGGCCAAAGCTGCTGGACTGGGTTCTATTCATGATATTGAACTGATTGCACAAGTTAGAACGGAATGGAGAAAAAGAATAAACTATGAGCCCTATATGACATATAATGACATAACTAGACAATGGAAGAATAAACTGTGAGCCCTATATGACATATAATGACATAACTTGACAATGGAAGAATAAACTGAGAGCCCTATATGACATATAATGACATAACTTGACAATGGAAGAATAAACTGTGAGCCCTATATGACATATAATGACATAACAAAACAATAAATGAATGTGATCATCATAATATAACATACAATTTTATGTCATAGAATTGTATGTGAGAAAGAAATACAAAATAAAAAACTGTTCCTAGCTTGACATGCAACCTGGCTCTCTAAACTGGCTTGCCAATGAATTGATCACTTCTTCTTCTGCCTTTCTGTCTCCCAATGGAGCATAGGCCCTCAACCAACTCACGCCAAGTCATTCTATCCTTCGCCATTGCATGGAGCTCTCCTCATCTTTCTAACTTCATTCTCCAGCTCTCTTCTCCATGTGTTTTTTGGCCTTCCTTTATTCCTATGACATTCTAGCTATGCTATTCTCCTGTTTTCTCAGTGTGTGTCCTATCCAACGCCAGCGTCTTTCCCTCACCTCTTGGTCCACTGGAGCCTGTTCTCTCCCAAAGCTCTACATTAGTTAATCTATCATACCATTTAATTCCCTCTATTTTGCGCAGGCACTAGTTAATGAATGTCTGTAATTTATTAGTAATTGCCTTAGTTGTTCTCCATGTTTCCACCCCATACAAAAGTTCTGATTTTACATTAGAATTAAAAATCTTTAGTTAAGTATTTCTTTTGACCTCCACAAATTCCCTAGTGCTATGAAAGCTCCTCTTGCCTTTTGTATTCTTATTTTAATATCTTTATCAGTTCCTCCATCTTTATCTACATTACTGCCCAAATAGATGTACAACTCCACGTCTTGGAGTGGGGTGCCATTAAGAGAAACCACATTACTATTTGCCTGATTTATTCTCATTATCTTTGTCTTTCCTTTATGGATTTTCAGACCAAGCTGCTGTGATCTTGCATCAAGTATATTTAATCTATCTTGCATCTGATTACATAAAATGGGACAGAAGAGAAATGTCATCAGCAAATCTAGATCATCAAGCTGTTTTGTAGGGATCCACTGAATTCCATTCTTGGTGTTAGCAGTTACTGTTTTCATAATCCAGTCTATAGCCAGTAAAAATAAGAGAGGCAACAAAAGACATCCCTGTCGCACACCTGTTTTTAATTCAAATGCATCTGTTAGCTTTCCCTCATGAAGAACTCGACATTTCATGTCTTTATATGTTGCTTTTACTAAGTTTATAGTTTTCTGTGAGATTCCATAGTGCCCTATCAATTTCCAGAGAGATTTTTTATCAATGCTGTCAAATGCTTTTTCATAGTCCAATGTAAAGTGGTGAGTTCAGTTCAATGCTTTGCTCTATTATAATACGTAATGTGGCTCTCTGGTCAGTACAGGATCTGTTTGACCGAAAACCTGCCTGTTCATCCCTCAGCATTTTATCAAAAGCATCTTTTAATATTTCCAAAATAATTCTACTTAATATTTTTCCAGGAACTGACAGCAACATAATTCCTCTATAGTTTTCACACTCCTTTAGATCACCTTTTTTGGGCAGTTTCACAAGATATCCTTCTCTCCAGTCTGCTGGTATTTCTTCAGTCTCCCAGACTTTACTGAATAATCTATGTAGCAATTCTGTTGATATGTTTATGTTGACCCTGATGGCTTGATTTGATTTGATTCAAGAACCGACATCACAGCACTCGGGGCATTCCCATAAGCGCTCCGTCCCCATCTTCAGCAGCCAGCGAAGAGTTACGATACTAAGGGTGCCAGTAGCTTTCTGATTAAACGTCCGTCTTGCCTTTCCTCTGAGCCTTGAGCTTCTGCCAGAACCTCTCGTCACCCCCAAACTGCATCAATCTCACCAGACTGTGGTGATCCATCTGCTCCTCCGCATTGTACACGCTCTCGCACAAGGTACTAACCACGTCTGCCCTATCATGTAGCAGTATTTCACCAAGTTGTGCAGAGCCAGCCAGTCTGTCCGCCTTTTCATTTCCCAACACACTGACGTGACCCGGTGAAAAAATCCAGACAATACTCCTCCCTCGTGTCCTCCGCAGCGAAGCATGCCACTCTGCATGAAGCATACCTGTTCTGATCTTCCTCAGCATGCTTTCTGAATCAGTTACAATTACAATGTGTGTGTGTGTCGTGTTCTCTAGCCAGTGGAAAGCTGCAGTGACCGCCTCCACCTCCATTCTTAAGCTGGATGTTGTGGTATCATATGCTAGGCTCTCCTGCACCAAACGTCGACCATTAACTTTTGCTAAAAAGCCCCAAGCACTTCTTTTGCCTGTTGACACTGAACCGTCTGTGTAAATTATTAAATCCTCTGAGCGAGCATTATCTTGAATTAATTGCTGAATTTCCACCTCTGTGGCACCTGGTGGCCAGTCTCTGCATTCCCGGCTCAGCGTAATTATGACTCTACACAAGTCAGACTGCTCAGGTGGCACTTTGACCCACTCCTCTCCTCGCCTAATGTTCTCAAGGATGAAAACCTGTCTGATTGTGTCTTCTGCCTGAGCCATCCATGACCTCCCGCTTATCAGCCGCTGACCCTTAACTGCACCCAGAACTTCATGCAGAGGGTGGTCTGTGTCTGCAGCTACCCTGAGATATGACTTCGCCTGCATCACCTTGTGCCTACCTGCAACCGTCGGCAAACCAAGGATGTATCGCATACACACCACTGGGGTATCTCTGGTGCTACCCAGAATGACCCGCAAAGCCCTGATGGCTTCAGCTGGGATACCATCTGGGTGTGCCGTCTTTCCTTCCTTGAGAAGATTGATAGCTTTTCTAATTTCCTCTTTGGATGGTATCTCACAGTTGATATCCAGTTCCATTTCTAAAGGCTGGATATCTGGGGGTACCTCTGGGCCTGGTCTATTTAGAAGCATTTCAAAATATTCAACCCATCTGTCCATTTGATCTTTAGTGTTAGTAAGTACCTTTCCTTGACTATTTTTGATTGATCCAGTTGGCTGGCTATATTTACCTACTAATTTTCTTGTGTTGCTATAAAGTTCTCTGAGGTTTCCTTTTGCTGCTGCTGTCTCCACTTCTTGTGCTAGATCATTTAGATATTTCACTTTATCTGTCCTTATACGCCTCCTAACTTCCTTATTGGCTTCTGTGTATTTCTCCTGAGCTCTAGCATCCCTATGCAACACAAAATATGTGGCCAATCTTAGACTAATAAATTTGAACTGTAAAATAAATACAAATATTGCCCTTGGCTGAACTCTGACCTCTTTCTGTGCTGCCAGAGCTTGATCCACTTCTGCCATTTCCCGCCTTTTCTCCAGCATTCGTGTGGCAGCTGTCAGATGATCATCTTCTCTCTCTGGCATTTTCCTGTGTGACAACAATTGACTTCACATCAGACAAAATGGATAAAAAATAATACTAATGAATCAAACATTTATAAGTTTACGAAACAATAACTGATTGTAACTTCATAAAATATTAAATTGCATGTTTTTAAAATGTGAGCTATAACTTTTAAGTCATTGTATCCCATGAAGGAGGATGGCCATAGCAAAGCAAAGATTAAACAGCCTAAAAAGTGTTTGGTTAAGCACCAGCAAGGAGATAAAAATTAGAATTTTGAGAGCATGCATCTTTCCTGTAGCAACATACGGATGTGAGTCGTGGACTATCTCCCAGTCCTTAAGAAAGAGAATAGGGGCTTTTAAGCTGAAATGCTATAGAAAGACTTTCAGAATATCTTGGATGAAAAAGAGGAGAAATACTGATATCTTGAAATCTGAACATCAAGGAGATTGGCTAATAAACACCATCCTGTCTCGAAAGCTGAAATATTCTGGTCATATCAAGCACCACGACGGACTGGAAAAGATTATAGCAGAAGGCATAGTACCAGAAAGGAGGGGCACGAAAATGGGCACAGGATATAAGTGACTATTTGAGTATGAAAGTTCATGAGGCGGGAGATCTGAAGAGAGACCGAGTTTCTTTCAGGCAGACCATGATGAGAGTGACGTTCTGCAAAGGACCTGCTGCATGATGATGATTCTATGTAATGGGGTCCGAGGCCCTCTTATGGAGAAACAAGAACAGGCTCATTGCTCCCCAACAAGCCTGTCGTAGGAGTCGACTAACTGAGGATTTCCTTTGAAGCCAGACTGTGTCTGCCTGAGCAGCAATAAACAACCAGCTGCGCACAAGTAAGTGAGTAAAATGGATGTGTAGGCAAAACTCAGGCCCTGGTCCCAAATCAAAGTCCAAATGGACGAACAACCAGGACTTTCTGCTGCTGCTTACAGCTGTTGAACAAAAAAGAAGAAGAAGAAGAAGAAAAAGTCAGTGTATTTCAGTTCAGGCTGTCTGAGCCACAAAGAAAATGCTTGAATATATCAAAGTAAAGTTGATATACAGAATACTTCTTCTTCTGCGTTCATCCGAAGATGTAATTGCGTTGTGTCCATTTACAGCATGGCTGTGATATTTGCACCTTTAGGCTAACACATCTGACTTCTGCTGGCATTTGTTGACCGGTTAGCCTCCTCGGTATATACAGAATACCTTCTCCATTGAGGAAAGGGGAGATAAGAGTGGTGGCGAGAGTCACTGCCCCCTAGCAAGCATGTTGTAAATGGCGACTAATTAAGGGGTAGCTATCCTGTGTTGGTTTTTGGATCCCATTGCTGGGTGGAAAGTGAGCATGGGTGCTGTGACCCGCAGTGAACGGACTCCAACCCAATGTTCAGTCAATTATCTACCTACATAGATACTCTGATACCTTGGGTGATGAGATCAGATATCACTGATTTATTATGTACCATTATTAATCGTATATTATATGTCACACAGAGCACAGAGTCAAAACCTCTGAACCTATCTATCCTGTGAAACTTTCTCAACATGGTGTGTAGAATCTAGTATAAAACCTCAGGCCTCTTTTATCAATGTTTGTAGCGTGGCTTTCTTGGATACTATTGCTTTCTCTGTCCATTTATTTCACACTTCCACTGCCTGCTTTATGATTCTTTCCCCACTTCACCTCAGAATGTGTCAGATAGGGTGGTTTTCAACCTGGATGGCGTAATTTCTAGGGGAGGAGGAGGAGGGGGATTTCAAGGAGGCATCAAGCAGTTTTGAAATTGAGTACATTCGTAGTTGTAATAATCTGTTACATTAAAAAGATTTTTCAACAGTTTAACTATGAATGAAATGTTTTTTTAAACTATTAATGAAACAAAAAGCCAAGGAAGTTGTCATGAATAGTTTGTACAGCAGATACTAGCAAGAGAAAACTGTGTCAACAATCACACTGATATTAAAACAATGAATTACTAATTTTCTTGAGATTGTTTCTTTTTGCGGTTTGACACTTTGATTTCTATGGATTTTTGTCTCCAAGTTCTTGCTAATAGTGCTTGGGATTATTCTTTTGTGCTCTCCTCTATGTAATCACATCATTTTTAAAGTAGTCTGGGAAAGGGGGGGGGGGAAGAATTGGGATCTTGCAAGATGCTCTGTGTGGGTGCCACCATAAATCGTTGAAAACCACTGACGTATCATCATCATCATCAGGTGCCTTGCTGACTGGCATGGGCGATCATGCCTCTCTATAATCCACGATCTCCTGCAGCATGTATCAGTTCGTGTGCTGACACACCTCCATGCCATGCAACAAGACTGTCAAGCATCTTCTCTCGTTGTCTTCCTCTATCCCTCCTTCCACAGATCTTTTTAGTAGTCACAACATGTTCTATTTTCCCTCTTCTCATAACAGGGCCGAAAAATGATGACTGTCTCCTTCTGATGTCTGTGATAAGTTGTCTTCGGGCTCCCGCCTCTTTCAAAAACCTCTTGGTTGCTCTTTTTGGCTGTCCAAGGTATTCTAAGAATTCTTCTGTCAAACCACATTTCTGAGGCCTCAAGAAATTTTTTGGCCTGCCCACCGATTATCTAGGATTCACAGCCACATATACTGACCTAATATATATCTATCTACTGTCTCTTGCCCTTCAGCACCGGGTGACGCCGGTGTGTTGGGAACAGGCGGACAGACTGGCTGACTTTGCACAACTTGGTGGAATACTGATACATGATAGGGCAGACGTGGTTAGTACCTTCTGGGAGAGCGTGTACAATTCAGAGGAGCAGATGGATAACCACAGTCTGGTGAGATCGATGCAGTTGGGGGTGACGAGAGATTCTGGCAGATGCTTGAGGCTCAGAGGAAAGGCAAGACGGATGTTTAATCAGAATGCTACTGGCACCATTAGTATCGGAACTCTTCACTGGCTGCTGAAGATGGGGATCGAGCACTTATGGGAATGCCCCGAGTGCTGTGATGTCGGTTCTTGAATCAAATCACATCAAATCAAATCTTGCCCTTCAGCTGAGTACCATCAAGGAAAAAGGTTAAAGAAATACAGGTCCTGCATGCAAGTGTTGCTAAAGACAACATGACAGCAGCTGAGAGTGGCAAAGTTGAGTTGAGCTGAGTCAAGAATTGACATCACAGCACTCGGGGCATTCCCATGTATGCTCTGTCCTCATCCTTAGCAGCCAGTGCAAAGTTCCAATACTGATGGTACCGGTCACAGTCTGGTTATATGTCCGTCTTGCCTTTCCTCTAAGTGTAGTAAGCCGGCCAGACCCCTGGTTGCACCCGGGTGCTTCATTCTCTCCAGACTATAATAATCTTCTTTCCCTACTGATTCCGTTGCTTGTTCCCAAAGGGCCTTGATCACATCTGCCTCATCATGTATCAATTCACCACCCAGTCATCATTCAAGAACACAGAGGGCACAAAATTGTTATACTTTGCGACTCATTGTCTGTTCTCCAAGCACTATCAAGCAAAAAACAAGACAAACTAATTGCAGATCTAAGGTCCAACATTGGCTTACTCTCCAAGGAAGCAGAACTGGTCTTGCAGTGGATACCAGCCCACTGTGGTATTCAAGGAAATGAGAGAGCAGATGAGTTGGCAAAAGCTGGGAGTAATCTTCCACAACCTCATCCACCAAACAGCTACAAGGAAACCAAAACAGCGCTAAAGCAGTCTTTCAAGCGGAAGTGGAGAAGGCAGAATGGAGATTACAGACCAGAGAGTGACAGCATAAACAAACTCAACAGGAAAGAACAAACATCAATTTTTAGACTTCGGACTGGACACTGTGGACTTCGAGCACACCTGTACAGGATAGGCATAAAAGAATCTGCCGCCTGTCATTGTGGAGCAGAAAGACAGACCCCTGAGCACATACTGCAGTACTACCCTTACCTCTCCCAGCAAAGACCGTGGATCTGGCCCAGGGGACCCACATTGCGAGAGAAGCTATGGGGGACCGGTGGGGACCTTAAACGCACAATTCTATTTTTGACCCAGACGGGACTCAATGTGTAGCATGACTGATGTCGAACGCAGAAGAAAGAAGAACCACCCAGTGATGCAGATCCATCATAAGTGATGAAGTAAAAGATTACCACTCTTTCTTCCATCTTTTAAGCGCAATAAAGGCTGGGAAGGATCTTGGGGAAAAGGAGGCGTGGAACAGTGTCTGTACGTAAAAGGCCTGTTTTACGGATCTTTCTTTGCTGTTCAGCTGGTCTTTTTCTAGATGCCTTGCAATTCGTTTCGCATCTCGGATTGTCGTTCGCCATACAGTCCTGTCTTGTGCATCGGGCTCCCAGGTGTCAGGTTTTGTATTTAAGGCTTTAAGTGATGCCTTTAGCTTGTCCTTGAAGCATGTTTTTAAAATTCCAGCCACCATAAGAGCATCTACCATCTCGTATCGCATGTTGAAGATTATTTTGAGGAGCTAATGGTCTGGCAAACAGAATAGGTGACCTGCCCATCAAATATGTGCCTGCATCAGATTGGTATCGATGGTTCAAATACATGGGAAGATAATACTGAGAAAGAAACCCTACTGCATGGTAAAAACCAACCCGATCCACTGCACCTAGGTCTATTTCCAATCATCTCGACATTGTCCTGCCATTGGATCAAGATAGACACAGGCGAAAGAGTGAGGTTGATGAATTGCACAATTCTTCCTCACTTAAATCCAAGTCCTTGCGCAAGTCACTTTCATCCAGCTTATCAGTGCCATGCAAAAAAGTTGAATCAGTTTAATATAACCTGTCTCAGAAAGCTGCTCAAAATCAAGTGGCAAGATAAGATCCCAAATACTGTGGTTCTTGATAGGGTAAGCACGCCAAGCATCCACACGATACTGGAGAATTGCCAGCTGCATTCGGCTGGTCACCTAACCCACATGCCAGACTATCGCCTCCCAAAGAGAGTATTTTATGGCGAGCTCCAGCAAGGGAAGAGATCCCAGGGAGGCCAGTAAAAGTGCTGTAAGGACACT